TCGCCTGGAGGGGTTTAATACATTTGAAAACAGGAAAAGGTGAGCGAAAGGTCCAGTAGGATATAATTTTATAAAGCATTTCAAATAAAGGTACTCACAGTCCGAAGATATACACCCGGAACCGATCATCCCTTTTTAAAAAAGAAAAAGGAAATACTCACATAATACAATATGTCTGTATAATGAAAGTGTACAGCTCATCATACCACTAAACAAGAAGCGGTAAAAATGTCTGTCTAATGAAAAGTGCAGAGTCATAATTCAACTAAACAAGAAGCGGATCCGTACGGGTTTCGGGACCTGCCCCCAAGGATGCAATTCCCACATCCCAATCTCTGTGGCCACCATGCATTGTATCATTCCTTAAAATATTTCATTTTAAGAATTGATACGCTTTGAAATCTCATTTCCAAAATCATTGGAAAAACTTAATAGCATTCTCATGCTATTTCTTTAAAATCATTTTCTTTAAACATGTTTTGTTCTAAAACATTTTCATTGGCCAAAATAATTTAAAATGAGGCTAACAAGGATATGGACAAGAATATCCTACCTCTCGAATGTCAAACCTGGGCTAGCCTTCAGTTCTCCTAGCCTCTGCTTTCCTTAAAGCCTTAATACTTGACCTTCTCCACTAGCTTTATCACAAAAGTAATATCTTAGGAAGTATTTCTCATTCCTAAAACGAATTAAGTTCAATCATGTTTAATTGTTTCCTATTAGTGTGCCTTGACTCAAATCCAATTTTCACAATGATTTTATAATTCAGTTTGGGGGTTCTTTAAAAATTAGAATCCAATTCATAGGTTTGGTTTTCCTATTTAATTTTAGTTTAAAAACAAGTTTCTAAAGAAATTTCGGCAACATGCCCAATAACTAAAAACCCCCAAATTTCATTCGATTCCAATAATAACTGTTCAAACTCGAACCCTAACTCAAAATTATTCAAATCTAACCAAAATCAAACTTTCTCAAGCTTAAAATTCGAATCAAAGAGTGGGTTTCAAAGGGTTTTACCTCAAATCAGTTGCTCGAGCTTTGTTTCCCTCAATTTTTCTGTTTTTCAATTTTTTTTTTTGAGATTCTCGCCCAAACTGCCGAGAGAGAGAGGGAGAGAGAAACCCGGAGAGAGAGAGCAAGGGAGAGAGAGAGGACGCCGGCGGGAGGAAGCCCGGAGAAGGAGGTGGCCGGCAGTGGAAGAAAATGGAGAGAGAGAGAGAGAGAGCTGGGCGCTGTGCATGGGAGAGCCAGGAAAGAAAGAAGAAAAAAAAAGAAAAAGAAGGAGAATGGGGAGCTGGGCGCACGGGAAGGGAAATGGGGAAAAGAAAAAAAGAAAAGAAAAAAAGAAAAAGAAAAATAAAAGAAATGGAAAAAGAAAAATGGAAAAAAGAGAAAATGTATTAAATTTAAGTGTGTTTTTCAAAAATCTTTGGGGTGAAATTATAAATACTGAAAATAACTTAAAATCCCTTGATTAATTATGAAAATCAAATTAAGCACACTAATAATCTATAGTTTAGCATAATTAAACATGTTTAATTCTAGAGGGCGTTACAATTATAGACATAAATTACTTCTAAACTGTGAAGTGTCCATTTGATATAGTCATTGCATATAAATCGATCCTCCATAAATAATTCATAATTAGAACAAGGTAAAATCTGTTAACCTCTCTAATTACTTCTTTATCCTTGTGTACCATTGATTCTCTAATGGACAGTGATTCATAAAACACATTCATGGATCGGAGCTCCTACTGGTCCAAGTACCGAATCAACCCTCAAGAGAATTATTTATCTACTTCTTTCTTAAGAAGGAATGAATTCCATCTCGTGTAATAACATTCCCGGCTACCTACTTCATCATGTCTCCAAAATACAAGGAATAGCATTTAGGATCTCAGAATCCGTACCGAGTAAATCAAAAAACACAAATCTATAAATAGGAGTCTGTTAAGAACTCAGAATTAAGATCATTCTATATATGACCATTCGTAGACTCAATTAGAATGTCTATACTTAACGAAAATTATTAGAAATTCATATTGTGTCTGTGTCCTTATTCCACATAATCTCATTATGCGAAATACACTCATTCAATATCTCACCATATTAACAGTGCAGATAACACCGTTCCATTCTAAATGGGAATGACATGTATTAATAATGTTTCAATTAAAGATTTCGAACTTTAATTAAATTCAATATAAACATTGCTTTTTTATTATTATCTTTAAACATTTTCCTCTCGTATATAACACTTATATACAATGTTTAAGGTTACATAAATAATCACGGAATTTTCATTGATATTCATAAAATATTCACAAATATATACACATAAAATGATGAATAAACTCTTTTATTAAATAAATAATAAATATCCTATTACATCTTATGCTTCTAGGACACCATTCCGAACAGAAACATCAAATGAGAAATCAAATTTCCAATCCAAACAAAAACTAAAAAAAAAAAATAGAGATGAGGAAGAAGTGAGAGAGAGAGTTCGAGCTACAATAAATACCAATCAAATAAATACAATATCGTCATTTGCTGAGAAAACGAGTTCGAGCTACAATAAATACAATATGGATCCATCTATATTTCCCTCAACATCGTCATTTTCGTCCATGGATGAAAAAACCAATCATTCAAAAGCCACAACATATCATATAAAAGAGTTGAAATTTATAGAATGAATCTACACAGAGGAAGCTTTGAGCTACAATAAATACCAAAAGATAAGTGAGGAGAGAGAGACCTAGAGGCAAGAGACGAGAGCACAGAGCCAGAGCGCAGTGAGGAGAGACTGAGAGCCAAGAGGACTGAGCACTGAGGAGAGAGAGCTGTGAGGGCCTGAGGCGAGAGAGCACTGGAGAAAGTCGGCAAGACGACGGCCAAGAGGACTGAGCAATGAGGAGAGAGTTGTGAAGGGATAGGCGGCCGAGACCGAGAGGTGTGAAATGAGGGAAAACTGAAAAGGAAGACTGAAGAGGCAAGAGGGGGTTCACACGGGAGACTGAGATGAAATTGTGATTTGCCCTAATGCGGCATGCCAGCGAGCCCAGGGTTAGAACTTGGGTAGTTGGGCTTGGGCCGAAATTAAGCTTGGGGGTATGTTGTGCGGGTTGGATTAGGGATTGCGGGTTGTTATGGGCTCAACCCACAATCCGCCCCAAACACTTCAGGCCAGAGGTATAATAGGCCGAAAATTTATAAATATTGCTGCGGGTTGCTTTTTTTCATCTTGGGTTGAGATGGGGTGGGTTGGGTTTGCGGGTTGTTCGGGTTTATGAACAGCCATAGATTAAGCTACCCCAGATTACCGATAATAATCTACATAACATGCCTTATTCTTATGGCATGGGTCAATTCCCGATGTTTTAAGTTATAATTCGAGGGGTTTTATAAAGAGGCAAATTAGTTCATAATTCATTAATTGAAATAATCAATTTTTAAATGGAATAATCTTGACGAATATCTCTTAAAAGTATGAGTTAAGAATTTTATCATTTACTCTTAATTCACAACCTTTTATTTATCAATAGTAAAAAATAAAAATCTAAACTCGTGCACTCCTAACGGTAAATTTTCTATATTTTTTTTAAGATTAGATTTTTTTTACCAATTAAATTTTTTTTATCAGTCGTAAATCAAACATTTACTTGATAAACTGCTATTTATTTTAAATAATTTTAAAATATGCTATTTAATTAATTTAATTTTAAAAATATACTATTTACTATAATTTTTATTTTTTTTATTTTTTAAAATCTCATGCTCCCGGTCCAAATCATGGAAAATGGCCCAGAATTTTGAAATCTGCTAGGTTCAAGGAGAAATTGACCAAGTTGAATAGAACACATTACGAAAGTTTCCCATTAAACCAATATGATTCAAGGTATCAGATACTTGTCGGCATGCTCTTCTGCTTTTTGCACTAAAAGGTGTAGAGAATTGTATAAAACAGACAAAGAATTCCCTAGAGTCGAGGGCAAACAGAACAGGCTAACAAACAGAACAGGCAAGCACTACATAACAAAGTCATTCTGGGCATGAAAGAAACGTGCCATCTTACAGCTAGTGGTAGCATCTTCTGTTTCTGTAAAGTCATTCCAGTTTCCGCCACTGTAAAACTCAGGCAAGTATTCCTCTAGTTGAAAAAAAAAACACTAATAACAAGAAACAAACTATCAATTCGGTAACCTTCTTGTATCCAAGCCAGGAAATTACAGGGCATATTTATCCTTGCTTACTCAAAAATTGCAACGAAACAAGGCGAACACTGGCTGCGTGTAACATAACGTTAAGACCGCGTAACAGAGATAGAATTGACTTACCAAGCCACTCCTGTGCCAGCAGCATACACGCTCAAAAGTTCTATTCAAAGTAACAACCACATAACTAAGGTAAAGTTAAATCGGAAAAACGCTCAAAAGTTCTATTCAAAGTAACAACCATATAACTAAGGTAAAGTTAAATCGGAAAATTGGAATATCTGAGAGAGACGAGGGAGAGCTCCACGTAATTCAAAAACAGAATCTTCGTGGATATGAAGCTTCATTGCAATATGAGGCTTCTCAATTATTCCCATGTCCTATATGTTTTGCTCTAAACTTTCCTGCTCTAGAGCATAAAAAATAAAGGAAAGAAAGGATAAGTGTCTTGATAGTTAAAGATGCTAAGAAAGGTAATCCATGAACTGATACAAAATGGAATGACAAGAATTTTTGAAAAATCAAACAGGCAACATAACTTCACCTAAATGCTACACCGAAACAACAAGAGGCTACATAAGTTTATGTTAATAAAACAAAATAAACCTTATACTCAGAGAATATTTGCTAGTTTAATGCAAGGTTTCTAGTTTTTTGTTAGTTTCTGTTAAATCTTCTACTTGACTACTAATAATTTTTGGGACACATAAAAACAATAAGAACAACAAAAGAATCATCTCAACAAAACATGTCAATTATTAACCAAATACCTCAATGCAGATACCGAACGATAAGTATATAATCAACAGAAAAAAGTACATATCCAACCTTCCTCAATTATGCCCTATACTAAATTACTAATCAAAGTATTTAGGAATCACCCCAAATACAGCTTCACGTTAATCTTTATGATCACAGGTATAAAACGGCAACAATGAGCGACCAAATTAAACCATCTATAAGTGTAAAGAGAAACAAAAATCCTAAATAATATTATGATAAATTCCTAAACCCGGATAACCAATAATCAAAACCTGGCAATTCTAGACTGTAAAAAGCAGCTCCGAAACAGAGATTTTCCTTGCTCTTTCATATCATTGTCTTCTATCTAATTAAAGGCTTCGGGTTTAGCCATCGAATCAACTCTGTGTCTCGCTCTTCATAGCACTGCCATCACTTTCCCTCTCCTCAAGCAACCTCCCGGCCTCCTCATCGGCCTGCTGCGCCTTCTTCTGCGCCTCCGCGGCTTTCAGGCCCTGCAATTTCGCGTGGTTGTAATACGCAACCCCTAAGAAAGCCAATCCGTATCCGAACAGATTGATCGGCGTCACAGTGTCCTTAATAACCGACCACGAGAATGCGATCAAGAGCCAATCTTTCACAACTCCGGCCACATTCATCGTCAAAGCCGAGGTCTTTCCAACGAGCAAGAACACCGCAAGGTTCAGCGCGAAAGCGCATAGCGCATTCGTCCCAAAGACGACAAAATCAAAATGGAAACTCGAAGTGTCCCTCAACAACGGGTACTCCACAATCAGCCACGGAACGCAGAGGAAGACGAAGCAGCACGGCGCGACGTAGTACAGCGAGGTGATCGGGTTCAGACTGATTCCTTTCGCATTGAGCAGAATCTGAATCAACACCAGTCTCGTCGCCTCGAAGGCCACAGCCAGCAATTGCAGCAAAACGCCCCAGGAATCAAACTTCGCCTCGCCGTAGGCGGCGATCGCGACGCCGATCGAGATCGAGACCATGTTGAGCATCGTGTCGGACTTGAAGGCGTCTTTCTTGAACAAAACCCCGATCGAATACACCGCCACCGGCATCAGAGCCTTGAGCATCTGGATGAAGGAAACGGAGAGGAATATGTAAGCGGAATTGGAGAACCAGAGAGAGAGGGAGTAGAGAAGGCCGATCGGGACGACGGACTTGAGATAAAGCTCGCGCGACATGGAAACCGGCTCGACGAGCTTGAAGACGTTGACGAGGAGGTAAGCGATGGAGGAGCAGAAGGCCATGTGGATCATGGTGAGGGTGATCGGGAATGGCCAGTTGTACATTTTCCGATCGAGGATGTATTTGTTGTAGACGATAACGGTGAAGCTGAGGAAGATCCAGATCGCGACGTAGGCGTAGGAGAGGAGGACCTTCTTCACCACGCTCTCCGCGAGTGCGCCGCCGCGACCCATCGTCGGCCGAAGATTTGTCTGTTCGGAGAAGAAACGAAACCCTAACCCTAACCCTAGGGGTGGGGCTGAAATGTGAATGTGGTGGGTTTGGGGAAGAAGGCGACGGCGGAATTGGGAATCGGAGAGGGATTTTTTCTTTTTTTTTTTTTCTCCTTTCCGAATGAGAAAGAGGAGACTTTGAATTTGTAGTAGCAACAGTCTTCTTCAGATTTTCGGTTGGGATTTGGGCTTCTTAATGGGCTTAATAGGGATGATATAGCAAAATGTTTGAAATATTTTAAGAATATATTCTTTCTTTTTTTTTTTTTTTACATTGAAACAGCAAAATTTGATGCCATTAGACTGATGATTATATAATTATAGAGAAAAATATGTATTTTTAATTTAGGGCTTGCAATCTGGGTAACGATAGGACTACACGATTTGAAATCCATATGAAATTAGTGAGTTTAGATCATAATCGGGTTGACACGATTAACATGATTAATAAATTGAGAGTTAGGGTTGATCTTCTAACACGAAGTGATACGAATTGACACGATTAATTATATTTATCATCTACAATCTAATGATATGTGATATAACATGAAAGTTTAATGACATATTAAATACAAATAATGTGAATTTTAATATTTGTAGGTAAATTCATTTATTTTTCTTAAAGAAAAAGATAAATTAACTCTTGACCATGTTAAATAAGTCATTATTATATTAATTATTTATTCAATATATTAATTTAAACAGGTTATACAGGTTGACACGATTAACACGATTAATAAATGAGTCGTGTTTAGGCTGACATTTTTAACACGTTTAATAAACAGGTCGTGTTTGAGTTGATGTTTTCTGACATGATTAATAAACTAGTTGACACGAACACGACTCACTAACATAAATTTTCACCTTTAATTTTTATGATAATCACTATATGTAATTTTTGCTATTTTTATAAAAGTTTGAAAATTTTGTTACATTTCAAATTTAAGGTATGAAGTTTTATTTCAATTTAAGATTTTATCATGTAGTATTCGACGATAAATTAGATTAGAATTTTTTAATTTAAATTATATAGTTAATTTTTAGGACATATTTTATTTTTATTTCAATTTTAAATTATGATTATGTTTATCTGTTAGGATTTTTTTTTCAAATAGTTCGAGTTTATCTTTTAGATTTCTAGAAATATATTAGTTTATCTTTTTGAAGATGATGGTTAATGAAACTTAGTGAGTGTCTATATATATATATATATATTTTTTTTTTTTTCTTTTAGTTGTGGTTAATTTATGTTAGTTTTTCTTTTCTACCTTTCACTACAACAAAAAAAGCTCATTTGTGACGACGCCATATTGTCGCAAATAACAGATTTGTTGTCGCAAATATTATATTTATGACAACATGTCGTCATAAATTAGTCACCGCAAAAAGTTCGACGCAAATAATATATTTGCGACAATATAGTTTTGAAATGTCGTCACAAATATATTAGCGACGACAGTCGTCGTGAATGCATCGTTACGAATGTTCCGTCGAATATGTTGTTGACGATGACGTGTCTTAAATTATTTGCGACGAAAAATATCGTCGCAAAAGTTTTTGAAACATTTTGTGACGACAAATCTAAAGTGTCGTCGCTAGTAATGTAGACTATTTGCGACGACATTTTAGATTTGTCGTTGCAAAAATTATTTTTTTTACTGTACTTTCCTAATAATATTAATTATTAAATATATAAATTAAAAGAAAATTTAATAATAAAATAAAACAATAAAATTGACATTTGTTAATAAATGATTGATATAAAATAGTCAACACAATAATAAAGAAATACTAAAAGTATTGATAATAAGAAAAATAAAAACATATATTTTCTCCTAAATTAGCAGCATCGTCGTTCTCATCGTCGTCCTCATTCTCGTCTTCTTCGTTTTGCTCAGGCGGCGGATGAACTAGCGGTTGGGGACTGTTAACTGGCAAGAAGTTGATGTTGGGATTCATCGAGCACATGACTTCCATCATGATTTGTTGGTTGTCGAACATGTTGCATTGCTCGCTGTAGAGTTATTCAGCCAGTTTTGGACATGCTGGGGCAAATTAACCAAAGATGACCCGTCTGATTGCGAAGCAGATGATGAGATGGAAGCGCTTGAATGATTCCTCCATGAAAGTGTCGGTCCCACTCCCTTATTGTGTCCTCTGTCCTTGCCCAAGACTTGAGACATAATCCCCTTGTCATTGACCGCCGTGGATGAACCTTCCCCAGCAAACTGTGTCATCTGCGTAGTTCTTTCCACCTCCATCTGAGCATACAAAGGTAAATGAAATAAAAATGAATAAAAATAGTATAATATGTTATGTTAAATATGAAAAAATAAATAAGTTTAAAATTTACTTACAAATGCATGTTCCGCGTCTGGATTGATAAAATTCTACCCTGACGGTGCATGTCACCCCAATTGTCAATTAATGATCTTAGCTCCTGGGTCTCGAGATTTGCCTAATCAAGTTGAACATGTTAGAATAACTATTAAGCCAAAGTGACAAAAACTTAACAAGTATGCAAATTAGTATTACCTTATCAAAACAATGCTAGGAGTATGACTTTCTACCATGGAAGCTAGACCACTTTTGACTGCCACGGTTTTGTTGATTTGTAGCAGATTTTTTCCAGTAATGATCATAGATGAATTAGTAACATACTTAATAATTAAATAAACTAATTAATCAAGGTCCCTATTGCTCTTTTTTCCTCAAGTTTTTAGGAGGATTTTACCTGACAAAATCCTCATTTTCTACCCCTCCCATCTTCTGGAAGTGTCTGTGCAAGGTAGTCTTCCAGTCCTTGTAACATTTACTGGCTTCACGGTCGACTACATCTCTAATGATGTCGTTGTCACAGTCGTAGTTGAGGTTAAACCAATCCTGGAATACACAAAAAAAAAAATCAACAAATAAATCTTATTTATTGTATCCACAATTAAAAATTTTTAGAACAAATTTTGTTTCAAATAGACACCAGCATGTGATTTTGAATCCTCCTTTTGTGCTCCTCAGACACGTCCTTCCAGGCGTTGTAGTGTGAGTCACATATATCTCTTGTGTGCAAGCCGACAACACTGTCAAAATATTTGGCGTTTTCACCAATCACCATCGACGAACCTGTCTCGTCAAACAAGACAAAAAGCTTCCCATCTTTTTGTACTTTATCCACTATATCCCAACCTATAGCTACTCCTCGACCAGACCGACGTCGAGATGTCAACTCCGGAACTGTAAGAAAATAAAAATAACGAAATTTGATTATAGAGAGTTCGACAAGTAACAAGTTTTGGGAGTATGTGTTATAGCGTATAATACCTCACTGACAATGTGTCGGGAGTCTCGTCAGATTAGGTGGAGGTAGTGATCCTCTTGCAGAGCCGGCGCATGTAGCTACTGGGCCAGACATCGAGACGCTGTGTCGTAAAAAAAAATTTTATTTGTTACTTTATTTGGTACACAACCTGATTAAATTATAAGTTTTATCAAATTTTATGAACAAGTTATTTTTTTATTGTTGCACTCATAATGTTTAGAATTAATTTTTAATTTTCTTTCTATTAATATAATTAATTCTTATTAATTAAATTCTTAAAATTAATAGGTTTTAATAAAATTTCTACATCATAACGACATATTTTTCTTATTGTCCAAAAATTCAAACCTATAAAAAATAGCTTTTAAAATATTTCGGCACACCATAACTGCAAGATATGCCACCCATAAATATTTTCAAAACTTTTAATTTCAACCTAAATCAAATTATAATATTAAAATTTCAACAATCTCAATATCAAATTTCAACAGTCTCAAAATTCAATGGATAATCTAAATTTCAAATTATATACTAATTCTAAAATCTATAAATCAAATTTCAAGATTTATAATCCATAATTATACACAATTCAAATAACAAAAAACTCATACATTTTAAACTAAAAAATACAATAATTATAGAAAAACTTACAAAATTCAAACCCACTGAAATGGTGGCTGAAAACGGCAAGATAAACAGGGTCGAAGGGCGGCGGCGGACTTTGGCGGCAAGATTTTGGGATTTTTTGGAAGAAAAAACAAATAAAACTTATAATTTTGTTGATTTTGAAGATAATACAAGGAGATTTTGAGAGTTTCGGGTTAGAAAACCGGAGAAAACCGGTGAGAGGCCGAGAGAGAGAGAGAGAGAAGCCGATCGGAAAAAATGGAGGAAGAGGCTCTGCTCGTGGGCATATAACAGAGTTTTTTGCGATGACATAAAGAATATTTGCGACTACTAGTCGTCACAAATATAGCTTAAAATTATTTGCGACGACACTTACATTATTTGTGACGACCCATGTTGTCGCAAATATAACTAAATTATTTAGGGTTTAGAAAGAAGGTTGTAGAATTATTATTTGCGACGACACGTATAATGCCGTTGCAAATAATTTTTGGGGACCCGCCCAATTTTCCCACCTTTTTTTTACTGAGGGAATACAAAATCACTTATTGCGACGACACACATTAATGTCGTTGTAAACAAATTTTGTCACCCGCTAAAATAATCCTTTTTCCTCATGAGAAAATAAATAAATTAAATTTTATTTGCGACGACATGTGTCGTCGCAAATAATTAACTATTTGCAATGACATGTCGTCGCAAATAATGTTATTTTGGCGCTAAAAGTTCACGTCAGACAAGATTTGCCGCCAAGAAAATATTTGCGACGACGCGTGAGTGTTTAGCGACAATAATATTTTTTTAGTTTTATGAAAATATTTACGACGACATGTCGCTGTAAATATTTATTTATTTGCGACGACAATTGTCATCGCAAATAGCCCAAATTGTAGTTGTGTTTCTTAGTTTTTGTTTTTTTTTTTACTAGTGTGTTAAGACATTTATTAGTATGATCCCTTTTTATTTTTATACTTTATACTAAAAATGCTTATTTCGATACTTTCTAGAAGGAGATTTGTTGAGGAAAGATTTGGTATTGAGCCGTATAGCAAAAATTTTGGTATGGATCCACTTTAAATAACGTATTAAAAATGGAAAATTTTCTTAATACTTTAATGGTCCAACTTTAGACATTTCAAAGTTAGAAAATATTTGAGAGGGACAAGCAAAGTGGAAAAGAACATGCATTGATTGCAAAACCTTGATAAGAGACCAAATCGGGCTCCT